AACCAACAAGGGCGGAAAAAAAACAAAAAAGAAATTAAAAAAAAAAAAAAAAAAAAAAAAATGCAGGATCTTGGAGAAAGGAAAATCCGAGTGGGGGAAAAGACGGCTGAGGGTGACATCTAGAGGAACTCAAGATGGGATCCGGCTTTGTGGGGGTGCTCCAGGCCCTGCTGCTGGCTGGGGGGCACCCCGGGATGGGGATGGGGGTCGCCTGGGTGGAAATGTGGTTGTTTGGCAAAAAAGGGTTAAAGATAAGGAAAGCAGCTGCTGTGGCTTTAGCTCCTGCGATGCTGATCTGGGAGTGAAGCCCCATGAGCGACCGGAACCGGAGTCACTGCTGTCATGAGTTTTGTCCTGCCTCAAATATATGGGAAGAAAGGGGCTGGGGATTGCAGTGGGGGGGAAAGAAACGGAGCTGGAGAGAGGGGGGAAGGCAGAGAGGGACAGGGTTTGGTGTCACAGCCCCCGATTTGTCCCTCTGATGGGGGCTGGATGGGGCAAAGACCTGCCAGTGCTACGGAGGCAGATGCTTTGGGCAGGGATTTGGGGGAGGTAGGGGTGCGAGGTGGGACCAGGGGTGCGGGAAAGTGAGCAGGGGCTTCTTTCCCAGTCCCATGCTTTGAGGATTTGGACCAGGAGGGGATCTCGTGGTGCTGGGGACTCTGAGACTCCTGGAGCGTATTGGGGTCCCCATGATGGAGGCTGAAGCACCTGGGGATCCTGGTGATGGAGGCTCAGACACCTGGGGGTCCTGGTGATGGAGGCTCAGACACCTGGGGGTCCTGATGGTGGAGGCCTAGGCACCTGGGGGTCCTGGTGGTGGAGGCTCAGGCACCTGGGGTCCTGGTGATGGAGGCTCAGCAGAGTCAGGGCTTGCCACCAGCGCTGGTGGGAGAGATGACACAGGATCTGCCCTGAGCAGGGAGCTGTGCAGACCATTTCAGGTCTAAAATCCATGAAAAACCATTTTATTCATTAAATACGGGACACTTTCAGAGTTGGTCTGAGCCCTCCAAAATCCTTATTCCTTCCCCAGAGGCTGCCAAGATCCTCCTGGCTTGCAGGTTCACTCCTTGGTTATGGGATCCATTAATTTCTCTCCTCCACGGAGAATTCTTACTTTTAGGTTAACTCTCGTCTTGCTGGAAACAGCACCTTTCCCCTCCCTCCCCCCCAGCCACATTTCATCCCAGAGGAGCCCAGAGCCCCACAGCAAAGCAGGAGCAGCTCAGCCTTGGCCACCAAGCAAGGGGAGTGGTCCCAGGGTTGAGGAGGATTTAGGGTCGGGAGAAACGTCCCATCCGCATGCGTACCCATCCGAATCGCAGCAACAAGAGCTGAGGAGCAGCGATGGCCCCTAGGGTGGTAGCACCTACGGACCCACTGGAAACCACGGGGGTCCCCCATGTCATGGCATGGGGTGTGCTGACACATCTTGATGCTCACACATATGAGGGACTGCAAATTAAAGCAGTTTGTACCTTTGCTGCTCCAAAAACACAATGGTGGAACGGGTACTTCGGAGCAAAGCACCGTCTCAACGGGTTTTGCCAGTGCTGTCTCCAATTGCCATTGCAGGGATGGAGATTTTGGTAGCCCTGGCAGGATCTGGTCTGTGTGAACCTCATGAAGTTCAATGAGGCCAAGCGCAAGGCCCTGCACCTGGGTTGGGGCAACCCCCAGTATCAATACACACTGGGGGATGAAGGGATGGAGAGCAGCCCTGCCGAGAGGGACTGGGGGATACATGTCGACATGAGCTGGCAATGTGCGCTGGCAGCCCAGAAGCCAACCCTACCTTGGGCTGCATCAAGAGAAGCGTGGCCAGCAGGGCAAAGGAGGGGATTCTGTCCCTCTGCTCTGCTCTGGGGAGACCTCCCCTGGAGCCCTGCGTCCAGCTCGGGAGCCCTCAGCACAAGAAGGACATGGACCTGTTGGAGTGGGGCCAGAGGAGGGCTACTAAAATGCTCCGAGGGCTGGAGCCCCTCTGCTGTGAGGCCAGGCTGGGAGAGTTGGGGGTGTTCAGCCTGGAGAAGAGAAGGCTGCGGGCAGAGCTGAGTGCGGCCGGTCAGGGCTTCAAGGGGGCCCAGAGGAAAGGGGGGGACAAGCTTTTTAGTAGGGCCAGCTGGGACAGGACAAGGGGGGATGGCTTTAAACTGAAGCAGGGGAGGTTTAGACTGGATCTAAGGAAGAAATTCTTGACAGTGAGGGTGGTGAAACCCTGGCAGGGGTTGCCCCGAGAGGGGGTGGAGGCCCCATCCCTGGGAACATTGCAGGCCAGGTTGGACGGGGCTGCGAGCAACCTGATGTGGTTCAAGGTGTCCCTGCTCCCTGCAGGGGGGCTGGACTGGGTGACCTCTAGGGTATCTTCCAACCCAAAACATTCTATGTTTCTATGATATTGGTGGGTGAAAAATGGGACAACAAGCTGGCAATGTGCGCTGGCATCCCAGAAAGCCAAGCGTCTCCTGGGCTGCATCCCCAGCAGCGTGGCCAGCGGGGTGAGGGAGGGGATTCTGCCCTTCTGCTCTGCTGGCCTGAGACCCCCCTGGAGCCCTGCGTCCAGCTCGGGGGTCCCCAGCCCAGGACAGACAGGGACCTGTTGGAGCAGGGCCAGAGGAAGCCATGGAAATGGTCCAAGGGCTGGGACAGCTCTGCTGTGGGGAAAGGCTGAGAGGGTTGGGGTGGTTCAGCCTGGAGAAGGCTTTGGGGAGACCTGAGTGTGGTTCGTAAGAGAGATGAAGACAGGCTTTTTACCATGGCCTGAAGAGGTAAGACAAGGGGTAACAGTTTTAAACTGAAAGAGGGTAGGTTCATATAGCACATAAGGAAGAAATTTTTCAAGATGAGGGTGGTGGGACATTGGATCAGGTTGCCCAGAGAAGCTGTGGACGCCCCATCCCTGGGAACTTTCAAGGTCAGGCTGGACGGGGCTCTGAGCAACCTGATCTTGTGGGAGATGTCCTTGCCCATGGCAGGGGGGTTGGACTGGATGCTCTTTGGAGGCCCCTTCCAACCCAACCCATTCTGTGATTCTGTGACTTCAGTGGGTTTGGGCATCCGGGGGGCAGCTTTGTGCCACCTGGCAGTGGCCCAGAGAGGTCTGGGGCATTCAGGCATTTGCCCCCGTGAAGGCTGGTCCCACACTAAGGGTCTTGGCTGACCGGGGAGCAGGGAGAGGTCTCCACCTTTGCATTGGCTGACTGCAAAACTCCCCTTTCCCGAAGAATTAGGGGATGGATGGGGTGAAAATGAAAACCTGAAGGATTTTTTTTTTCTTTATTTATTCATGAATTAAATTCTGTTTTCCCCCTTCTCTGGCACAGAATAAGCTTTTGTTTAAGGCAATAAGCTGCAGAGATGCTGGCTTCTTGTGTTTATGTTTTCCATTTCCAGGCAAATCCCATTTTGGAGTCCCCTGAATGCTGGTCTGGGAACTGAACCATCCTGACCGCAGCGAGCCACGGTGGACTGAGGATCAGAATAGAAGATTGTTTTTACACAGGGGATTTAACAGCCTGGGTTTGGCTTCTGATGTCCATCCAAAGCACGCGGGTGGAGAAGGAATGCTCTGTTTTCAGTCTGCAATGGAGTCACTGTTTTAATTTTAGCTTCTCTGGAGCAAAGCTGTAAGCAAGCTGTTACCAAAGCAAAGCACCCTACGGAGGCTGGAAGGGGCAGAGGAACTGGAGCCTCCTTGCTTGTTTGCATGTGGCCCCCATGGGTACTGGGGCGGGGGGGGGGAAACTGGAGAGGCTGAGCACCCAAAATCCATGCATCCCTCTTAAAAACCCCAACGTGACTCATCTGTGCAGGTCAGAGGAGGTGTTGGGACATCGTGGAGCTGCCAGGACTGACACCAGGACGGCAGAGATGCGCTCAAGGAGGAGCCATGAATGCACCCAAGAACCTTTGTTTTGCAAGAGTAAAGCTCCATCAAGAGGTGCCAATAAACCCCACCGAAACACAGAGGAGCTTCAGCGGGTGCAATTTATGCGTATGGCAGGGAAAAATGATCACAGGAGGAATGAAATAAGTTTAGTTTCCTCTGCAGCTTTCCATGGTTGAGAGTTACTGCTGGACGTGAGCATCAGCTTCTGCTTCGCTCTCATGGCTCACAGATGTCCTGGTGGGTCAGTGCTGCCCACAGAGCTCTCAAGCTCCTGTCAGGAGAGCAGCCAAGTCAAAACAAACCCAGAAAGGTCTCAAAATTTCACTACCGTCTTCCTGAGCGTCCTTTCCTCTCCACCAGGGCTTGCAAAGAAATAGCCGATGCTGCTTTTCCTTCGATAGCTGCTGTAAGATCCAGCGAATGCCACCGCTCCGTCACTACCTCGCAACTCGTATTTGTTGAGGACAGTTTGCTTCCCCTCTCTTCAGTGGCATTGCAAAACTCCCGAAACCTTGTTGTGCTGAAAGGATTTGCAAACTTTTTTTAGCAATGAACCCCTGGGCTGCAGGTCCTGTAACACGGGAATGTCGCAACGGCAGCTGGTGTTGCAACCGCACTAGGCTGGGATAAGTGCAGATCCCTGGCCAAGCACGCTCTCCGGCAGAGCTTTGCCCAGCAATGCCAGTCAGTGGTGCAAGCTGAACGGGCAAACCATACTTCTAATGCAAATATTTATAACTGTCAGCATATGGATTTCTTTCTTAACCTTTCCAAGCAGGGAAAAGTCCAAGGCTCAAGCACTTGTGGAGGAAAGTCCTCCCCCCTTTACAATTGAAGCTGGAACTGTAAGCATTTTTTCATGTGAACATATTTTTATGGAGATGCTACCATGGTCTTATGTTGGGTTGGTCATATCCCTTGGCAATGAGGCATTCACA